TCACCTGTGACCTCGAAATAATCTGTGACCTATAAAATTTTAAATCTGTGACCTCGAAATAATCTGAGATCTACAAATTTTTTTATCTGTGACCTCGACATTACCCGTGACCTACAAATTTCTTGATCTGTGACCTCGAAAAAGTCGCCGGATCGGAGCAGTCGCCGGACGCCGGATCGGTGCAGTCACCGGTCGCCGGAGTAGTAGCCGGAGCAATGGTGGCGGTGTAGGTGAGGTGGGGTGGGGTGATTTTATTATATTACAGTTAAATATTTAATTTAATATAATAATTATGAAATGTAATTAATTAATTTCAGAAAAACCTGATTTTTGTAATTTTAAACTATTGGGCCTGATTTTTAATTTTGGAATAGTAAACACCTGACCCATGAATTTTTCCCTGCACCTTGCCCGTTTCTTGAAGTTATGGGTCCAATAACAAGATGTCCATTGCAGCCCAAAAGATTGTGTTCATTTAAAATTGAAACAAAACCCAGAATGGGCCGTACTCTGTACTACTATATATATCGTCTAAAGCTACTCACAAAACCCTAGTTGCGAAACAGAGGCAGAAAGCGCTACGAGTATTTTCTATCACATCTTCGCGGCCTACTCGGTGTTCTTTGCAACATGAAGGTCTCTCTGTCACCCATACGGCCATACATACTCACAAGCAATCATGCAATTAGCACAATGTAATTTTGTTTGCAGTCTTATTTGTGTCGGATAATTTCTAATTATTTATTAATTTTTGGGTTTTTAGTTCAACATCGCAAATCCGACAACCGGGTGCCAAAAGAAGCTCGAGATCGACGATGACCAGAAACTGTATGATTCCCGTTTTCATCTACTATTGCCTTTTCTTTATTGTTAAGCTTTAATTAATTTTTATATGGAACCTAATTTGTTTCAATTTAGATACTATTATATTGTTAATCTATTTTATGTTTTTGTTATAAATGTTGTTACTAACATATAGGTTTGTTTCTATGTATATAAATCTTAATGTTGGAGGTTTGCTTTCATATTAGGTGAAATATAGTTACAGAGCAATCTAAATTCAGAATTAAGAAGAGAAATCTTCTTGAATCTATAGTGGTTTTGTGTGCTTGTTTATTGAAGCATATTTTAGAAATGAATGCTGTAAGTCAAGATAATACATTTTTAGTTTGAGTATTATTGGAAATAATATATTTAAACCTTGTTATCAAGTTTTAAGAAAACTGTATATGCCAGTGTATTTCTAACCCTTTTGGTTTTATCTAACATCCTTGTGATATAAATTTTTCTTCTTGCTAATTTTTCAATTCAAGTTCATTGTATGAACCTTTATGAATTAGAATACATAGTCTGTGGTGAAACTAGTTTCTTGTTTTGTTAGGCTTTGTTTGTTTCGTCATTGCCATAAACGGGAACAATGCTCACAAATCACAATGCTATTTAGTTCTTTGGGTTATGGACAGACACACATAGAAGAATGCTATTACTAATTGCTGGCTGATATCAAGTTGCATTATCTGCTAAATCGATTGTTTTTCTGCAAGTAAAAAATGCTTGGGCATTAATTGCTTTGCCAAAAAAACACCGTTTAGTGAAATGGTATTCAGTTCTAGATTGTATCCCACTATCATGCACTTTGCATTAGGTATCAGTTTCTTATTATTGATACTTGCAGCCGGGTATTCTGGGACAAGAGGATCTCTCAGGAAGTAAGTGGAGATGCTTTGGGTGAGGTATGACACATTAATCTTACTTGTTCTGTTCTAGTGTGGCTTTAACACAATGATTTCCTGATTATATATATATATATATATTAATATGAAAATAACCAAATGATGTGCAGGAGTTTAAGGGTTATGTGTTCAAGATTATGGGTGGTTGCGACAAACAAGGTTTCCCAATGAAACAGGGAGTTTTGACTCCTGGTCGTGTTCGTCTTTTACTGTATCGCGGTATGTGGATCTATGACTTAGTGTGCCCTCTTTATTGGTTGATTTAATTGATTTTTGTGTTTGAAGTATATAAAACATTTGTCTCAACAGGAACCCCTTGCTTCCGAGGGTACGGTAGGAGAAATGGAGAGCGTAGAAGGAAGTCTGTTCGTGGATGCATTGTTAGCCCTGATCTCTCCGTTCTAAACTTGGTTATTGTGAAAAAGGGTGATAATGATCTGCCTGGACTAACTGATGTTGAGAAACCAAGGATGAGAGGTCCAAAGAGGGCATCAAAGATCCGTAAACTCTTCAACCTTTCCAAGGAAGATGATGTCAGGAAGTATGTCAACACATACCGTCGAACATTCACAACCAAAAATGGTGAGTATAGATGCAGACATGTGATTAAATTAGGGGGTGTTATTGTTGTTAAAATTTTGATTCTCAGTTGTAAAATTGTTATATATTCGCAGTCTTTTGTTAACCGAAGCTACTGCGTGATGACAGGTAAGAATGTGAGCAAAGCTCCTAAGATTCAGAGGCTGGTGACTCCCTTGACTTTGCAGAGGAAGAGAGCCAGAATTTCTGATAAGAAGAAGAGGATTGCCAAGGCCAAGTCAGAAGCTGCTGAGTACCAAAAGCTTCTTGCTTCTAGATTGAAGGAACAGAGGGAGAAGCGTAGTGAGAGCTTGGCCAAGAAGAGATCTAGACTATCTGCAGCCTCTAAGCCGTCTATTGCTGCCTGAGTTTTCTACGAATGAATTTTTAATCTCTTTTTATCGGTACTTTTTACTGTTCTTGAGATAAGGAGTTCTTAAATGTTATACTATTTGCTGCTTACAGATACTGAGATTTTGTTTCGTTGATGTTGTCCGTTCACTCTATAATTAGGATGCTGTTTTATTTCATTTGCAGACGGATACTGTATGGTTTTGTGTTGTTGGCGTTATTGAAGCAATAGTTAGTTAATATTCACGTCTTTATGCAGTTGCTGTCAGTAACTTTATTGCCGGTCACTTGCGTTTATTCGTTTTCAAGTTGCAATCCCCAAACCCTTCGGTAAATGCACACCAATAAAAAACTTGGCCTGGCGTATAGTTTGGAAATTTTTAGTGTGTTATTTTGAATGTCTTGCCGTTTCAGTAAGAGCGGACTTAACTAAAAGAGGGCTGGCAGTAAAGTGAAATTTTCAGATGGTCAAGTTTTGTCAGAAAAGAAGGATTTTTTTTTTCCCCATCTCTATATTGTTTCTTTCTGTCTTTCTTCTTCTGTAGGTATTTCAGTTCAATGAATTATTAAGGCACTGCTATTGGCGCAATCCAGTCCCGTCCTACTGTGGACTGTCCTACTATGGTTTCGGTCCAAAAATTCTGTCCTACTAGGGTTGGATGCAAGAAGATACGCATTGTGAGAGGAGGCAAGGAAAGGAAAACAAAGAAGCAACACTGCCACTAATCTCAATATCAAGATTATAATTATTTCCTTCTTGCGAATGAATATGTATTAAAACCAAATCCACGCAACCCAAGTATAAAAAATCAACAAATACTTTCACTTTCTTGTTCTTAGCAAGGTTTACTTGTCCCAGACTATGAACTATAATCTCTTACCAGCGAAACATATGTGATTTCCATTAGCGTGATCTAACTCTTGTGACAAGTTTTTTCTTATACACTATCGAGAAGGCATTCTCCACGTTTGTTCATTTCAAGGTTTTCATTTGTTTCATCACTTTTTTAATACCTCTAAAAGGTCTCAATCTTTGTTAATTGTCGCATTTGTATATCCGACATTTTTCTTTTTGCCGCATTCATACCTAGGGGTGGCAAAAAAGTCGGGTAGCTCAGCCTATGGAACGGTTCGGGCTCGTTTCAGGAAGAGTTCGAGCCGAGCTAGGTTTCGTCCGACGAACCGAGCATCAAACTTGCGAATGGCTGGTGGACACGACGAGCCTAAAGTTTACGAGCCCTAGTAAAAATTTTGAAGAAAAAAGTAAAAAAAATAATAATAATTTTGGAAAAAAAAAAAGAAAAAAAAACACGAGCTCGAGCTCGGCTCGTTCGACCATTGCCACACTATTCTTACCTAAACATTCCGTTATTAACACCTTTATTTTTTATGACTGTTTTCGTCCAAAAATTCTGTTAAGAAAGCGTAAAAGAATTACTTGCCAATCATATTTTAAATGTGACACAATATTTGTTGCTATTTACAATGTAAATAAACTATTTAGGGTGCGTTTGATTGTAAGGGTGGAAAATTGGTGGAAAGAAAATGAATTTCAGGGAAAGTAATTGTCTAAAAATTGTTTTGCAGGGAATTGTTAATTAAGTGTATTTGATTGGTATAATTTTCTACCTGAAAAATTTTTAAATTTTGTATTCGTTTAACTTTGTTTTACATGGAAATTGTCCATTAAAGTGATGTTTTTTTTAATGATTTCAAGTGTGTTTAATTGGTATAATTTTTCACCTGAAAAATTTTTAAATTTTATATTCGTTTGACTTTGTTTTACATGAAAATTGTCCATTAAAGTGATGTTTTTTTCCACAATTGGTTATAAAATTTGTTTTCATTGCAAAAAAGTTAAAAAAAAAAAAAATTGTTTCCTAAGAAATCATTTTTTTATCGAAATTTAGTGTTCGTTTGATTTTGTTTTATATGAAAATTGTCCATGAAAGTGAATTTTTTTTTTATAATTGGTTATGAAATTTGTTTCCATTGCCAAAAAAAAATAATAATAATAAGAACCTGGAAAACAATTTTCCCACCAAAAAGGTGGGAAAACATTTTCATTCATTTTAAGGAAAAGGGGGCGCGTGGGTCTAGGGTGGGAAAATATTTGGGTGGTAAAATTTTGTCCATCAAACACCATTTTTTGAGGAAAATGGAATTCATTTTCTAACTTCCAAGGAAAATAATGTCCATCAAACATACCCTTAGACAAAAAGATTTGTTAAGCCTATGTTTGTCTCTCATTCTTTCAAAACTATTTTTTATATTTATTCATTTTCAACTACACACATTAAAAAATATTATACAAGTAAATCTAAAACTTTTTTTCTACTTTTTAACCACACATTATAAAAAAATTACTATTTAAAATAATATTTTTTCAAAAAATGACTATCAAATAGAGACTCAAAATGAAAGATAGAGGATATGAACGTGATAAAAAATAGAGATATAATTGCGATAGAACCTTACTACTTGTACAAAAGAATTTGTACAAAAATGTTGACAAACCCTCACATGTGGGGGGGCCCACTTTTTATTTTCAATTTTTTATTCACGTGGGGCCGACAATCATGTGAGGGGTTGTCAACATTTTTGTCAAATTCTTTTTGTACAAATAGCTTTTTTGAATTGCGATAATAAGTAAAGATTGAATACATTTATTGTAGTTATAACGAGGGGAATAAAACAAAATCATGGTGGCAATATAACCACCATAGACGTAAAGAGTATTGACAAAAAAACCCTTGGATCCAAAAGGATTTGCACAACAATAATCAAAGTTTGGGGATCTAAATCTCAAAATAAAATGAATAAGAACTCAATTGCGAGACGTGGTGTAGTTTGGGGAGTATCGTACAAAGTTTCCTAAAATAAATATGTAATTTTCTGCATTTGTTTCAAGTGAAAATTACCCAATTCCCTACTTTTGGAGATTCAAATTCTAAAATCAGATTTTAAGGTTTAAGTTTCAAAAATCAGATATTTTATATATAGATATAGGTTTTTTATATTTAATTAATGTTAATAATAATATTATAAAAATTAATTTATAAAATAACTAAATATTTATAAAACAAACGTAACCGCCAAAACTTAATTAAAATCACACTCTCCTCTCTCTCTCTTCATTTCTGGCCCTCCATCGCCGCCCGTCTTCGCCCATTGCCGCCCCCTCCCCTCCCCTAGCTGCTGGCAGCGAAATCGCTGCCGGAAAAGCAGCGACAGCAGCGAAATCGCTGCTTTTCCGGCAGCGATTTCGCTGCCAGCAGCTAGGGGAGGGGAGGGGGCGGCAATGGGCGAAGACGGGCGGCGATGGAGGGCCAGAAATGAAGAGAGAGAGAGGAGAGTGTGATTTTAATTAAGTTTTGGCGGTTACGTTTGTTTTATAAATATTTAGTTATTTTATAAATTAATTTTTATAATATTATTATTAACATTAATTAAATATAAAAAACCTATATCTATATATAAAATATCTGATTTTTGAAACTTAAACCTTAAAATCTGATTTTAGAATTTGAATCTCCAAAAGTAGGGAATTGGGTAATTTTCACTTGAAACAAATGCAGAAAATTACATATTTATTTTAGGAAACTTTGTACGATACTCCCCAAACTACACCACGTCTCGCAATTGAGTTCTTATTCATTTTATTTTGAGATTTAGATCCCCAAACTTTGATTATTGTTGTGCAAATCCTTTTGGATCCAAGGGTTTNNNNTATTTATTTATTTATATCTTTATATATATTTAAATAAATATATATATGTATAAATAGGTCAAAAAATCTGATTTTTAAAATGTAAAAGTTGTTTTGTTATTTTTGAAATAGGGTAAAGATAAAGTAGGGAAAGTGAATTTTTCCTTTGTTTCAAATTAGTCGCCCGAGGGAGTATACTGGGCCACAATACCGTGAAAAATATAGCCCAAATGCAATTCACCTAATTTTCACGTGTTTATGCACATAAACAGTATAAGTGACACGAGTTTCTGTAAAAAAAAAGAAAAAGAAAAAAGAAAAGAAGACAGTGAGATGGACGAGGAGGAGCACGAGGTGTACGGAGGAGAAATACCAGACGAAGGTGAAGATATAGACCCCCATAATGCTGACGTTGAGATGTCCACCGCCGATGATGACGCTGTCAAGGTAATCTCTGTTGCGCCTGCTCGCACTTTTGGGTGAGAGGATGGCTGGTTGGGTGCCTATTTATTTGATCATTTAGGTCTGAGTGGACGTGGGAATTTGTGGGAATTGGATGGGAATGTGTTTGTGTGTGTTAGGGGTGCCTATTGAATCTGATTAATTGGGTTCGTGTGGATTTGGGAATTTGTATGAACTGGATGAGTGCATATATGTGTGGGTGTGTGCCTGTTGAATTGGATTAATTAGGTCTGAGTGGATGTGGGAATTTGTAGGAATTGGATGAGATGAAGAAGCGATTGAAGGAAATGGAAGAGGAAGCTGCTGCACTCCGCGAAATGCAGGCTAAAGTTGAAAAGGAGATGGGTGCTGTTCAAGGTCTTTTCCTTTTCATTTGCGATTTTTTTATTCTGTTTTTAACTTAAATCTTGTTCTGAGGTTTTTAATTGTAATGAGTTAGAGCAGTATTTATATGATGGATATGATTGCTTATTTTGCCTAGAAAGCGTTTTCAACAGATGAAGAAAATAGGAATTTGTAAAGATTTGGAGTAAAACTAATACAAGTGCACATAAATTTTGTATTTAGAAATAAATCAACTGCAAGAACGTCTGACTTTGTAATGGATGGTGGATCTCTTTATCTTTTTTATTTAACCAAAATTTATTCCCAAACCTGTTTTTCTGTAATTGAAGGCATATGTAAAATCTATTATTATAGGCCCTTCAGATGCTATTGTTGTTATATTAGGAATGTACTTGGAACTTGGAAACAAAATACCTGATTGACTAATGATCTGTTATGAGGAAACCGAGCAATAATAGGGTCCTCTTTCTCGGATTTCGGCATTTCCAGTTGTCTATTTGGCCCTGGTCCACACTCCCACACTTTGGTCATACTTTTTTTGCGCTACAGGTTCGTGCTACCAAGATTGCGAGTTCAATTTCTGGAGACGCCACCTTGGTAGCATGAACCTGTATGCATAAAAAGCGGGAGCAGAGTGTGGGTCAGGGCCAAATAAAGAAATGGCAACCAACAAAAAAAAAGTTTTTTGTCCATGAAATAGTAACTAAAAGCATATTTGCATACTATTCGTACCTGAATCATCTCTGATAACCACTTTAGATGGTTGTGAGATTTGTTCTTAGCATGACAAATCTGGTAAAGTACGAACGAGATGTAGGGCTAGCATATGAAAAGCTGATCAATACCCATCAACAAAGTTAAAAGAAAAAAACGACTTATTAAGCATTGTACGAACTACAAAGCCACCGACTTCTCTAAATTTCTCATGTAGGAAGTTTTCGTATAATTTTCCTATCACAAACCATTCAAAAGTGAAACTGAAGATGCTGGTCTGTCTGTCTCTCTCATTATGAGTGTGCAAGTGCGTGAGAGGTAGATGAGAGGCTACTAAAAGGAATTTGCAACTGAGCAGCCTATAAAAGGACATTATATAGAATAAGCAGCACTACATGGCAACAGTTAGCAGTAGTTGCCAACATAAGAATTAGAACTCAGGTACTTCCAAAGTTTTATTCTTTTATGGGAAAAAATAGGGCATAGAGGTAATTATTGTCTGTAAATGATGAAAGGTGGGAACAAATCTTGGTAGGATACCTGTGCGTTGGAGTAAAAGAAACAGAATTGAGGGCATCTCCATGGAAAATTCCTGTATACTCATCACCAAGCAAGTGTTACAAGTAGAAACGAGAAACAGAGATTGATGTGCATGAAATAGACATAATGACCGAGTGGGTTAGGTGCCTTAGGAAAGTAAAATGACACGAGAAAGAGAGATCAAAAGCAATTGTTCTATGATTGTTGTTACGTGACATGAAATAGTCAGTGCCTTGTTTTTGTAATCAATATCGATGGGCAATGATTAAGTTGCTCTTTTGTTATCTTCCTTCAGTCGCCTTCACATTTTCTGTTGATTCTACAGTCAAATTGTTTTCGTCTTTTGCAGATCCTGCTGGTGCTGTTGCTTCACAGGCAAACAAGGAGGAGGTTGATTCGCGATCCATTTTTGTTGGCAATGTAAGGATCAAGTGTTACATTCTCTTTGATGATCATCTTTTCAGTCATCTTTAATGACTGTCTTTTCAGGTGCTTTAAATGATTACGCATCTTATTTTTTTTCATTTCTAGTTTTTTGTACGAACTAATATTTCAGATATTTGAAATAGAATAGAAAAAGTTCTAAATGAATGAAGTTATCAAATGGATCTTTAGTGTTGTGAAATTTAAACATTGGTTTTCTGCAATAAGTTTTTCTTGTCATTAATACAGTAATTTGTTAAAATCATTTAGTGCAGAATCTATTTCGCTAGGCAGTATGCTTGTGTATAGGAGGATCTAGTCAGATTGGAGATAATACTTAGTGCTGTTTTTTTTCTTTTTCTTTTTTGGGCGTGCATTTGAAATTGCTAAGTTTGTGTCCTCTTGTCATTTCAGTATTGATGCATCCTAAATTTTTGTAAACTGTACATGAAGTTGTTTCTCCTTTTTACTATATTGTTTCAAAACCTGCATTTTCCTCAAAATTATATTTTTTGATGGATTTGGACTCTTTTCGGGAGTCATGGGTTTGACTTGTCTCACTATTATCGCAGGGTCATTTTATACCTGAATAGCACTGGAATTAACCCTGTATATTGATGGTGAAAGGAGTTCTTATGCCTTTAAGTAGGCTGGCTTTTTAGCTAGGTTGTTCATACCGGCCTTTTTGTAAAGAGAGGAGAAAAATAATGAAAAGGGAAGAAAAAAGATGAAAAGAGGAACGGACATAAAAGAGGAGGAAAAATATTTTTTTCAAGTCTCCATGCAAAAAATATAAAAGAAAAGGTATTTTTAGCAGAAGGAAAAGAAAAAAAAAAAAAAAGTAAATGCTAAAGGGTACATGGGTTGATTGAAAATGGTTTGAAAATCTATATCGGCGCAGAGCTAGTTCTGCATTTCATAACACCAAACATTTTGTGAGTGGTTGAAAATATCTAGTTATAGTATGATGTAAAATTCCACATGATGCACAAGAGTACCAAATTCTTGTGCATTTGAAGAGTTTAGTCATTGCCATGCCAATCCTGTGCCAGAGTTAGTGCCGATGGGTGGTGGATGCCAATGCCTCAAATTTGATTTGTTATTGAACCTTATGCGGTGAGGTGTCATTACTTCAATGCTGCCTTATTTTATTTGTTCCTTTTTTGTTCAGACTGTCAAAGAACCATTTAAGAAATGCTCTAAACCCCTTTATAATAAAATTATTGTGGTTTTGTTATTCTGAGTCCTTTTCTACTAAGTGTGGTTCTGATATTCTTTTTTGGGATATATTTACGGAATGCATCTCTTTTTAAAAATATCCGCTTACCCTGACTCTAGCCAAGTCCTTGCATAATGTTTCATTCTCGCTTGTATTAAGCCATTTATAATTGCTAGTGATGACTCAAGTGTCAAACTCTTTACTTGCCAGAAAATAAAAACTGAAATAAAAAATCTTCTCCCTGTGTTAAGCCACCATGTATAAGGCTTAAGCGGTTAGAGGCTGGACAAATTTATTTAGTTACATTTTTATCTCCGTTAAACCTCTGCGCTTGCAGGCTGAAATCATTTTTCTAATTAAAAGATCTGCAATGTGGAATTTTCTTTAATAGATGGCATTGAGACTTGAAGTTAGAACTTTTACCTGCTATGATATTATGTTAGACCACTTCTTAAGCAAGTAGAGAAAGAAGAAATTGTTTATATTATATCTTAAATAGTATGCGATCATTTTTCTCGGGGATGGAATTTAAAACCAAGTCAGTAAATGGAGTATCAATTAGATTATTTCATAGCTTATAACCTTGATATGAACGATTCTGATTTGATGAATATGAAAAGCGAAACATGAATTTTAAGTTCTGTTGTACTTAGTTTTGCTATAATAATTTTCAATAGGCACGAGACTGTAGTAATAAGAGATTGTCTAGAATAAGGTGAATCCTGGGTAGTGGGTCAAACTTCCCTCCTCTAAGGGATTGTACGAGGAAGAGGGAATTATAATCTTAGATGTAGGATTGTTCCTTGAATGCCTTGTGACAGTAGAATTTGCAACTAAACAGACTCTTGCTCTTCATTTACATATGCAATGTAGCACACAATGATAAGCCCATATCTGCTAGACATTAGAATTAATTGAGTACATGCTTAACCCCTAGTTTGGAATTGACATACTGGGGTGAAGAATAGGTCTGTATTAACGTGTGAGAGAGAAATATGAAGCCTGACAGAGGAGTTAATTCTGTTGGCCAATATTCTATTGATGGTTAGAAAAACTGCAAATGATGATATGATTTCTTCTTCTGTTCTTGCTTTAACACGTGCGTTGCGCATATGAATGAGTAGTGTTGTCTTCTGATGCAGTTTGGATCATATAGAATGAGATAAATGTGTAAAATTAGTTTCTTGGAAACGGATCTTTCAATCAGTTTGCCATTCATTGATTTCAGGTTGATTATGCGTGTACCCCTGAGGAAGTTCAGCAGCATTTCCAGTCATGCGGAACAGTGAATCGTGTGACCATTTTGACTGATAAGTTTGGGCAGCCCAAAGGATTTGCGTATGTGGAATTTCTTGAACAAGAAGCTATTCAAGAGGCTCTCCAGCTAAATGAATCTGAACTGCATGGACGTCAATTGAAGGTTACATGGGTTCCTCTCTCTCTCTCTCTCACACACACATGCACACACAAAAAAAAAAAACGAGAGAGAGAGAGAAGGAAACTACAAGTCCATCAAACTTTACTCTCTCACCCTCTCTCCCGTAACCAAAGAAAAGGATCAAGAAGAGAAAACAAATGGCATTGAAAATTTACATTGTTACTAGTCCTACATCATCCTCACTAGCATGCAAATGAATCTTAGTGCACGTTTGGCAAATCTTAAATTATATTTAAACTTGTCAAACACACTCTTTATCTACACATTTCATGTACCCACTACTTATTATCCACACATTGTGGGACAAGTTGCTTAAAATATAATTTAAGCACCCCCAGACAAGCACTTAAAATGTGGCAAAGTTTATCTGCAAATTAACATGAAAAATGTTGGGTCTATGAGGCAAGAATAAATAAAATTTCTAGATGGAGATTTTTTTGTGGCAAATGTCCTGTAACTTCTCAATATGCACATTTACAGGTTATGGCAAAAAGGACAAATGTTCCTGGAATGAAACCATATCGTGGAAGGCGCTTTAATCCTTACCTTGGATATAGATACAGGAGGCCATACGTACCCCCATATTTCTATTCTCCGTATGGTTACGGGTGAGTTTCTAACCATTGTTTACCTCAAACTTTAAGTGTAATTCCGGTAAAAACGAGTGAAAATAATTTTTCTGCATGTTGCAGGAAGGTTCCAAGGTTTAGGAGACCAACGCGCTACATGCCTTACTATTGAGAGATTCCAAGTCTCAAAAAATTGACGTTCTCTTTATCTTCATGACGGTTTATGCAGTTGTTAGTAGCTGCAGAGGTATTTTGCCTACGTGGTCTAATAGTATTGCTATCACACGCCTATGATTTATGAGCTCTCTAGTTTAAAGTTTCTGTTTGCATGGCGCTGGTGAAGTTGTCTATCTCCATGTATTTTCTTATTTCCAGACGACTGTTTATCACATTTCTGATGAGGAAATGATGGTAGCTAATATCAATAATTTGTTGACAGGTTAATATGTTTATTATTATGCGCTTATGAGGTAGGTTTATATATTTTGAATAGTATAATTTTGTTTGGAATGAAAACTCATTCTATCTTGAGACGGGCAATAATATGTCTTTAGGGCCTGCTTGGAAATTTCATTTCATCTGTTTTGACCGGTTTTGGATGGCACCGTTTATGAGCGGTTAAAAGAATTGGTGCTTGTTAAATTTTTTGAGCACTGATTTTGGATGGTTTAAAAATCACCCAAAAGTTGTGTAGTGTAATTTTGACCGGTTATCTCAATCCACGAAATCGACGATTTTTAGTCCTATCCCATTATAGAATAATTATTTCCAACAAAAACATTTCGTTTAATACTAATTTATAAATAAAAATATACGAACTAAAGAAATTATTTATAAGTAAAAAATAATATTATAATTAAAAAATTACTTATAAGTAAAATATTACTTATAAGATAAAAAAATTATTTTTGTGAGAAAATCTTTCTGATAAGACAAAAAATAAGTAAAAAAATTGTTTTTAAGTAGAAATTATTTAAAAGTACAAAATTAACCTATAATTATAAAGTTTATATATAACTAAAAGTAGTAGCATAAAATTTTAAGTAAATATTTAACTTTATTTAAATTTTTAAGTTAAATATTAACTTATATGTAAAAAAAGATTAAATATAAGTAACTTATAAGTAAAAAATTTCATACAAGAAATTATAAACTCAAAATTTCATTAAGAGATATATATCTAACTTTACTTTTTAAAAAAAAAATTTGAACCAGTGAATAGTAACTCCTAAGTATGAGTTGGATTATTTTAAAAATTACTACTAAAAGTACTCATAATCGCTTTGCTCATGAACGCTCAATATCGGTACTTTAAAAAACGCTTATAACTGATACATCGGACCTCCCGAGTATGCTCTTAGTTGGAATAAGCCCTTTGCAAATAATAGGAAAAGTTAAAAGACTACTCCCTTTTTTATGGCAACCATGCTACAAGTATAATTTTTTTGACATCAAGTTTGACAATGTGCCACGTGTTAAAGGTTGGGTGGCCAGTTTTTAAACACCACACACTTTCCCTCTCATTCGAATTTGAATTAACATGAATTGTCAAATTCATTGTCAATCATGGATTGTACACAAAACATTATTCTTTTTATGGTCAATATTGGTAAAAAATGATATTTTGAATAGGGATTTTTTTTTTTTTTGAAAAATGTAAATTGAAAGTACGGAAACGTTTTGAATTTTTATGCAAAATATTTTATTGTTTGAATGTGTGGTTAAAATGAGTATGAGAATTAAAAAGTTTTGTTTTAAAGTAAAACAAACATGGTATTGTGTAAGCATATTTGGCATGAAACCAACTAATGTGGGATGACTTATTGGGAGTCAATGTTGCTAGCTATATATTCATATGCCTCGTCTAGCAGGCTTTTGAAAAATCAAAAGTAGCTTATCAGATTAAGAAATTGTTTTTAAATATATTTGGATAATTTTCTAAAAGTGTTTTATTGAGCTAAAAGAGCTTTTAGAAAAATTGGCCTCAGGTAACCTCCTTATAAAACTTTTATACAAGAAGCAGAAGCCCTACTAAATGAGTTCATGTTACTCTTGACCTATCGAACCAAAATTATTGTATACTTCAGAGGACTTTTCAGAATGACTTTTGGAAGCTTGGAAGCTCTACTTGGATGAGTGATGCTGGTTGTATAGGCCTGTAGCCCTGTACTATTAGCAAAATCCCTACTTGGATAGTTAAAGCTCTTTTTTCTTAAATTTATGAGCGCCTGGTTGCATTTGAAGAATTACTTCTTGACCAAAAAACACATTTTTTAAATTTCCCTTTTTCCTTTAAAAGCTGAAAAGGCTATGAACCAGCCTACTCAACTCATGATGAGCCAAGTCGAGCCCAATTTGGAAGAATAAGCTTGGCTCGTTTAATCAATGAGTTGAGCCGGATGAGTGGGTGGCTTTATGCCACCTCTGTTTAGGCTTGAGTCCTCTTGCAACTTAATGGCAAGATCGTAATATAATTTCATTTCTCTTGGACGAGAATTCAATCTAATCATGATATAATATTGATTCATATCTGTGAGAATTATGGTTCTCCTAACTCTAGTTGGACCAGTGCTATTTGTGTCATTTGTTCTGTGACCCGGTTGCTTAGGTGGTGTTTGCCTATTGGTATCCTTGTTGTGACATAGATTGTACTAGTTTGGTTTTGTTAGAACCATTGGATGGACTGGACGGTTGAGATCTAATTGGATGAGATATTTTCTTCTCTTGCCTTCTATTTTGACTTGACACTTCCTCTCATTTCAAATCTCTCTTCCTTCTCTCTCGTTTTCTAGGGCTTCTCTGTGCTGTAGGGTTCTCTCTTCTCTTTGGGTGATTTTTATGGTTTGATTCTAGTTATTCATGGAGGTTAATCTTGGGTACACTCAAGCCTGAATTAGTGGCTGATTGGTGCCGGTTTTCTTCCCTAAAATCTGAAGCTAGAGTCTGTTAAACAATGGTAGATCGTTCTCGATCGATGACCTGAAATCTTACCCTGGTTTCTCTAAGAACACTTCTCTGGAGGGCGATTTGCGTGGCGTGGTTGGAGTTGTTCCTGAGCCTATGCACTACAGCCACTGCGAAGGAGAAGGAAGCACGTAAAAGGGAAGAATCTGTCCTATTTTATGCCTTTTGATTTCTGTCCATTTAAGGTTTCTGTTTTCGGTTCATATATATATATATATATGTTAATACCTGTATATTGAATACCAGTTTCTGCAGTTTATGTATAATCTGTAAATGCTAGGCTGAGGTTCTGAGATTTCGGTTTCTATCCATTTTCATGATTTCCTTTTGTTGTAATTGGTGATTACCTTCTGTTGGGAATTGATTATTGAACTGTCACTATTGAATGAGCTAAGAGGACTCTGTTATGTTATGTATTGGAGCATGTTATGAACTCTGTTAATGTTCTCGAGCATGTTTGACTGTGACTTTGGTGTCTGAATATTGCCGTTTAATTCCTAACAATATATATAGTAATGCTATTTATTGATGGCAAGATCGTATATAATTTCATTTCTCTTGGACGAGAATTCAATTTTATCATCATATAATATTAATTCTTATGTATAATATTGAATCTCATTTTCAATTATATTTCAATTATATATATATAGATAGCGATGGGTAATAACTACTCATTCGATCTTTCTTTCATGTGCTTATTTGATTAAATGGAATTTGCAAAGAATAAGAGAATTATAAATTTATTTTTAATAAAATAGTGAGAAGTCCAACATCACTTTGTATTGTTACTTTATTTTGCTTATTTTCGTAAATAGTTATGACACAAAAAAATTTCTACATTTTTTTTAAACTTGCTTTCATTTCGAAAAAAAAGTGTACAAGTTATGAAATTACAATTTACAAGTGATGAAGAGTTAATTCCACTCTTTACTTTAAGGCCCTGTGTTGACGTGAAAATTTTTTCATGGAAGTTGTAAAATATTTTCAATTTTTCACATTTTTGACTGTTTGATAGCCAAAATTTTCTAGGCAATTAATTTTGCAACTTCACCTCACGTGACACCATTTTCCACATTTTCCTTGAAAGTGCTTTCCCATGGTTTTGGTGGTTTTTGGTTTTCCTTATGATTTTATTTTTTTTGGCAATAGAAACAAATTCTATTCCCAATTGTAAAAAAAATAAAAATAAAATAAAAAATCATTTAATGGACAATTTCCATATAATACAAAGTCAAACAAATATCTAAAGATCCAAAATTTCAATATTTTTCACGTGAAAATTTATACCAATCAAACACAATTAATTGACAATTCCTAAAAAAACAATTTTAGGCAATTCAATTCCCTGGAATTCATTTTCTTTCCACATAAATTTCACTCTTACAATCAAATGAACCCTTACTTTTTAAAGATTGAGAATTCGTAGACTAGTTAAAATGATTATTGACTTCTTTTTTTTTTTTTTTAAAAATAATAAAGTGGATGCGATAAATACATAGCGCATTGGAGACAATATAACAGTTTGTCCCATGTTGACATAGTTGTCATTTATTTTCATGTAAGTTTCATATATGATTTTGAGTATTGCGCACTCAATAAGCAGTACATATCAAGTTGATTCATTCTTAATTTTTAGTTTTCGAGTTATACATATATGTTCTATGAATCATGTTACAAGTACACTAACTTTGACATTAAGTTTGACATTGTACTACGTGACGACATCACACTGGGCAATTTTTAAAAACAACACACTTTCCCGCCAAACATAATTTGAATTTACACATGATGTCAAACTCGATGTCAAGAAAACAATGTATAAGAGGCTTTATTCTATGTTCTATACATGAATCTGAGTATCACGCTCTAAAATCGTACTCGTCGAGTTGTCGTCATTCGAAATTATTAGTCATTAAATTAATCTTTCTAGATATATTCGATTGATAGGTAAAAGATATTCGACTTTTCCATTGTCCACACAAGTGACAATTTGACAACCCTACCAAAAAAGGGTGGATAATATTAATTGACTTTTGGTTGGCTTTGCTCGTGATGGAACTAGGATTCTTTGACTGAATTTTACTACAAGTTGGCCCTCAAGGACTTTTCCTTCACTTCTTTTTGAAATTTTAATACAATCATTTACTTTTTAAAAGGATGCCTTTACTTAGTGCATGATTGATGAAGTTCAAATTTTTTTAAATG